GTGAGAGCTGCCGCTCCAGGAAGTCAGGGGCAGTTCACGCTGCTTCCTCCTGGGTTTTTTTTGATGTGTTTTCGGTGATTTTGCCGCTGTGGCAATCGCCTCTCTGTCTAGAGCTAGCACCCGGCTGCAGTTCTCACCGGTCCTGCTGCTTGATCTCGCCGAACAAGCGTATAGTGTTCGACAATAGTGTTTGCATTACTCGTATGATCAACATAATGAGCTTTCAATGATATCATCAGTTTTAACAGCATGTCTTTGAGCTCTTGTCACCAGAACAGCTTCTTACAGGATATGACTTCAACTGTCACATTCCCCTTCCTCAGGACGGCCTGTAATTCTAAGTTTTAAGTGATTAAGAGAACAATATTACAACTACTTTTTCTCTTGATCTGACACTTCCCTATGTGGAACACCAGATGTGTGGTCAACTAATAATGTTCTACCGAATTTCTTGTAGTTTACCTGGAGTTTACAGGACTGTCAATAGGAGTAGACAGATTTTGACCAGAGAACTTACTGACCCGTTATCTGTTCAAGAATTCTTCCATTTTAGATTGGAAAATGATACTTTTGGGAGAGGAACTGAGGGACAGTTGGGATCTTCCATTTTCCCTGAATTTTTCAGAGGTCTGTTCAAGACAAGAGGGAAATCGAGAGACAGACACAGCAGATGTTGTTCTCTGGTTTCCAAGCATCTTGTTTTGTTTGGATTTGTTGTTTGTTTTGGGTTTTTTATAAAGCCAAAATATTCAAAAGCCTGAATACTTTGAACCACCACTTTTGGTGATTGGTCTCACTATTTTAGTTTCCAGACTGCAAAACTAATAGTTTGTGGTGAGTGCTGTGAATGCAATCTGACTGTCATGGAGAAAGAATTAATTTAATCCAAATACAGTAAATGCTTTTCTCAGATTACTATTTGTAGCTAATATTTAGCTAACTTTAGGCTGAAGAATTTGGATCAAAAAATAGGGGAAAGAATGAGAGAGAAGTATATTTTGAAGCATATCTTCTCTAAGTTATACTTTAAATTTCTGCACAGTGGCCTGCATCTTGTAGAACTCAATACCTGAGGAAATGCGAGTGTGATAATTTACAAGGCTTTTATTTGAGAACTATGTTCTGTCATAACATGCTATGCAAACTCCGTACCATTTTAATGATGCAGTGTCAGGTGCTAATGTGTGTTTAGTTCAGATTTCTTCCAGATTGTATGAAAGGGATAGATGGACATAGTATACTGTCAGAATGGGCAAATGTGATTTGAATTATTTTGAATCGGGCAAGTAATTGCAAAAGGATAGATGCTAGGCTGTTCTCAGGTGTTTCAGAAGAGATACAGAAATAGTGAAGACCTTACATTTATTTCAGTTTCAGAGCTTTAATTTATTGTGTTCGTGTGTGTTGGAATTTTGCTTAAATCTTTGTTAATCTGAGTTTTGAGTGTTCGAATTTTTTTATTATCTGATAACTTTGTGGAATGGAGGCCTTGCCCGTATGTAGTTCCAGGCTGATCACTGAGTCTTAGTGCTTTAAAACTCTTAATTTTATTATGATCCTAGAAACTCTTTCTAAGAAATGCTGGTAGTAATTTAGTCATGATAGACAGGTTAATGGAATCTGTGCTAATACTTCTATAGCTTTGTTTCACTCTAGCAAAACACAAATAAATAGATTAATAGTTAAATAGACCATGTGAGCTGTGAACAGTGGATTTTATCCCCAATTTAGAAAGCTTATTGGGGTGCCTAATGTGTTCTGCTAGTGATAGTTACATTTTAGTGATACTTAAATGTGATTTTGTTTTTCTTGGAATCTTCCTAGATTTTGTTTGTATTAACTGTTTTTTACATAATGATATAACACATAGGACATGTTTTCTGACTTATTGAAAAGTACTCATGGGTTTTGGGGTTTTGTTGGTTGGCAATTTGAATGTCTTGGTACATGTGAAACATCTTTTTTTCTTAATGTTCCTGATTTTCTGGCTTTTAAATTTCACTTATTTTAGTGTTTAGTGACCTATACAGTTACTATAGTTATTTAGCCATATTTATAAGATACCGGACATTTTTTTTTATTACCTCTGTTTCCCTGGCTTTACTAGAGATATGCGAAGGCTACTACTTTGACAACTCCTTTGAGAGTATGGGTGTTGTTTTCTAGCTTTGAGATAAAAGATGCATGCATTTATTGTAGAGGAGGTAATGGTTGCCCTTTCCTTCAACTGGAAACAGTTTCAGTCCTTTCAAGATTATGGTCTGTTCACAAACTCAAGCTCTTCCATAGTGTATCAGTAGCTTACCTGTGCTGTGGGTACTGTTCTTGCCAGCATAACATTCTGCTTAGAGGCTTTTCCAGTGTTACTTGGGAGCCAGCTGCTCTTTGTATCCATGCTAATGCAGAAAAATATTAGACCTGACTTGTATAAGTGTTAACTAGATGTTTCATGACTTTTTGTTCACCTTACTTAATTACAGGAAAAACAAGTCTTTTCATCTTACTAGAAGGGAAGCTTTGACTGTAATTTTGTAGTGCTTATTGGGCTGTCTTAATTGTGAGTTACATCGGGTATTCCTCTTGCTAGCTTGCATATCATATCAACTGTGATAAGAAAGAAGCATCGCAGCTATTGCATGGAATGTGTAGTATTCTGGCCACTGTCTGTATGGGCATGCATTAGGTCTCACAAAATTGCTATGCAGTGTTACCATCTTCCAGTTTTTATGAGGTATCAGAAGAGTAAAGCCAACCAAATTTTTGTGGATTTGACTATGTTCCACTTGATCATAACCATAGCGCTAGTAAGGCTCTAATCAGTTTTCTGCTGTAGGTCTACTAGAATTACCAGTAAAGGCTTTCAACTAGTAAACAAGTCACAACTTCATTCACAAATCCATATTAAAAAAAACCAAAAATCACTATCATTCAGGTACAAGGAAAAAAATACTGCAAATGCAGAGTAAATATTTGTCTGTAAGTCACAAATGTTATAGAATATACTTGCTTGTTCTTCAACCAGCTGCTGTTTCATAGTTTATTCTCTTCAGGAAGTTTTCATCATCAGAAATGTTTTTCTTTTGCTTTGCTCTGTAGTTGCAGTTCTGTCTGTTTCACTTTATATGCCACTTTTGTTAACATTTTAAATTTTCTAGGTATGGAATCCGCCCTGAAAATGTGATTATATATGGCCAGAGTATAGGAACAGTACCATCTGTGGATCTTGCTGCTAGGTATGAAAGTGCTGCTGTAATTCTTCATTCTCCACTGACCTCAGGAATGAGAGTAGCTTTTCCTGACACGAAGAAGACCTATTGCTTTGATGCATTTCCAAAGTAAGTGGTAGGATTTTTTCATTTGGCTTGCATTTTCCTTTATTACAGAAGTTTTAGACTAGGGAAATGAGTAATACGGCAAATTTTCTGAAATTTCTTTTAAAGGTTTGAAAAAAAAATTGGAGAAAAATCAGACTGAATAACAATGAGGAACATTTGATTTGAAGTTTACAAAACTCTGTAAATAATCTAGGTTTTTCACATCTCTAATCATTTCAGTGGGTTTCTGTTAGAAGTTACTAGTTTTCCGATATGTAACTCCTAATATGACTGCTAACAAGCAGTTCTAGTCTAGTTAATTGTTAGTCTGTGTATCTGTGAACAAAGTCCTTTGCATATGTTTCTATGTAAGTAGCAAGGACTGGAAAATTAAGTAGGCCATAACTGAAGAAAATTCCTGTCATATATTTCAGAACTATGCCCCTAGTTGGCCATTACAAACTAGTGCATTTTTATCAGAGAATTACTTGTATTTTGAGCATCTAACTTTGAAGACTTTTTTTCCTCCATAGGTAGTCAGACTTTAAGTGCTAAAATTCTTTCACTTCTCACAAGCACTTTATTTTTACTGAAAAATTCTGAAGTAATATTTTCATCAGTCTATTGACTTTGATTTTATTTAAGTGAACATGGTAATGAATACCACTTTTAGATGGATTGATGTGTTATTCAATCCAAATGCTATATAGTAGTGTTTTTCCTTTCTGTGTTTCTTTACATGTGCTACTGTAATGGCTTGCAGGGTGTTGGTAAGATCTAATTTTCTAACAAAGTAAACAACTTCAGAATTAAATTGTTTAAACTACAATATGCAATTAAAAAGTTAAATTAACAGTCTGGTCCTTCAAAAAGATTTAATAAAGCTCATTGTATTCATAGATATAATCTTTTTCTTACAGCATTGACAAAATTTCTAAAATAACATCTCCTGTGTTAATAATCCATGGGACTGAAGATGAAGTAATTGACTTTTCACATGGCCTAGCATTATTTGAGCGTTGCCAGAGACCTGTAGAACCACTGTGGGTAGAAGGAGCAGGCCATAATGATGTGGAACTCTATGGACAGTACCTTGAAAGATTAAAACAGTTTGTGTCACAGGAACTGGTGAACTTGTAATTTTCTTTGTATATTTACATGCTTCTTCATTTCACTGCAGAACTGCACGCCTTGATAAATACACAACATAAAACCTGAAGATTGTGTTTTCAAATCAACTTGGTTGCCTTCATTAAATGTACAGGTAATGATTTGTCAACATAATTAATGAAGGTTTTAATGCCAGTATAATAAACTGGAATTACATGATCATGCATTCAAGCTTGGCAGTTCATATTACTTTGTGTGAGGTTTTTTGGTCATCTTAGATGTAAAAAAAAAAATTAAAAAAAAATCACAAGGAGTACTGTATGAAATTTTCATTATATAAAATCGAATGCTGTAAAAGTGTTGCCAAATGCTTTGGCATATCAAAAGCAAGTTTTTAAATATTTTTTAAACATCTCAAAATGTACTGTGACTTACTCTGTTGCACAGATGTAAATTAAAAACCAGATGTCTAAGCAGTTGTTCTGTAAAACAGTAATAGCCATGAAATCTGAACTAATACTAATGTATGTAGTAAGAATAGACAAGTCACTGGAAATGACCCATGCCCTGTTGTAGGGGGAAGGGGTAAAAACAGATCTCTTTTTCCGTATTTTTCATACTTTTTGTGCTTAGTTCTACTTTAGTTGTTTTGTTCCTGTGTTGTCTCTTACCTTTCAAGTTAAACCAGTTTACCCACTCACCTTTTCAGCAGTCTTAATCTTGCCAAAATAATGTTACCTTTATTGTAACATAAATACAATTCACATGGTTGCTACTGAGGCCACTAAGTACTTCACTGAAACCAGTAACACCTTTAGAACATAAAAGGCTTTGTGGACAATGTAGTTTAAAAATTTGATTGTACAGAGATACAATATTTCATTAGAAAGAACCTGGAAGTTTATTCAACTTTGTAATAAACAGTTTGCAAGTTTGGAGTTGTCTGATGCAGCAGTCTTTTGAATGTTTATTGTAAAAGCTTATTGTTTTTTGAGTATTGTATGGGGATATTACTAATTGCACCTGAGTGAGGGGAGGGGGAAGAAGAGAATGTTGACATTTTTCTATTAACTCATAGTAAAATAAACTTTGTAAGTTGCCTTTCCCTTGAATGCATTTTGCTTGAATAAAACTATGAAAAATAAACTTACATTATGTAGCCTATTTGTAAGCAAAGTAATATTTGAACAATACACACTGTGCTTCTAATTTTAAGGCCTTATGTAGTTTAATTGTTCTTGTTTTTTGTGACTGAGACTATTGTATACTTAAATGTAGCTTCAAGTATTGTGAAAACTTTGCTTAAGAAGTGTTGATTAACAGTAAACAATATTCCACACACTGTGCTGGGTTTTTTTTGTGTTGAGTAATAGCAACAGTTGCTTGCAGTATCAAAGTAACAAGGAACTCCCCATTTACTCTAGGAAATCCAGAACTAAAGCAGTAACACATTGTTATGAATTCTTAGCGCATTTCTTCACCAGCACCTACTGTTCTGATCAACCTCCCACCCCTATGGCTCATATTCTTTCTGCTCTTCAGTATACAGGTTTTCTGCTGCAGAGCTACTTATAAACGTTCCTCTGTAATGAATTCAGATTTTGCTTTCTTTGAAATAATAAGTGTTGACTCCTCTTGTGCTCTCGGGTTTGTTAATTGAATATGAAGAAATTTGAGTTTGTTCTCAAGCAACTGGGTTCTTGTTTGTCTTTTTGATCAAGTGTGCTTTGATGTGTTCTGAACTTCAGATTAGTATTCAGGCACAATAGTATGAGACTTAAAGATTTGCACGCTAACCCAAGATTCTGAAGTTGGAAGTGTGCTTAAATAGATATGTAACACAATTTCTTTACATCATACTGTGTACACAGGTTGATTTCATTTTCTTACTACCTTCCGGCCACTATCACTGATCATTAAGTTCTTAAGTGCTTTCTTTGTGATGAATGAAGTCCATTTTGAGAGTCCTCAAATATTCACAAATAAAGAATGTAGCACTGCAATGGTAAATGGTACGGATTGGCTGATAGTACTGCAAATTGCAGGTAAATGATCAAGTGTCACCACAAGAACTAGGTACAAGGTGGTATTATGGCACCCTGTAATTGAAAAGACAGAAAAGATGGTGGCATAGCAGTTTTGCTTCTTTTGTTTCTGTGTTTTGTTGAAGCAGAACAAAAAGCCTTCAGTAGATGCAGCTGTGCTGGATTACACTGGTGAATAAAGGTTCTGCTCTCTTTGGGGCCACTTATGCTTGGCTAATTATTGCCATTTTGTTCTGATTTGTATTTTTCACCTACATTTTTCAGACAAGTTGTTCACTGAAGGAATTAAAATTTATTTTGGGCACAGTCTAACTTGTATTGGGAATTGTATTATGGCAACAAACTTGTTACCAACATATAGTGACTCTGAGCTATTGCAGCTAGGAGGAAAACATTTGACGTAGTGATTGTCTTGTCCCTAAACCATCATTTTGGTGAAATAGACAGTGGGCTGTTGTTTTATGTTATAAATGCAATTGTTTTGTGGTAAATAGGAGTTGATTCAGAATTAATTAATAAGACAATGTCTGTATTTTGGGGAAAAAGAAAAGAGCATTTTGTGAGTCACATGGTCGTGTTCCTTTTTTTCTTTAAAATATTGTCAATATTTGACAATAAACTGTCGTTTTTAAGATCTGGAAATTTTGGCAAATCAACTTTAAAAACAACTTCATTTATGTAAAATAGAGATTACTTTCTAAAGGTGGGTTCTTCCGTTAGCATGTTTTGCTGTCTCACATTTCCAGCTACACATTAAAATAAATAAAAATCCTCTGCTTTCTTTACTGTCTGCTTGTGGCAGCAAAGAATTCTAGTGTATGTTCAATTAGCTAGTCTTATTGACTGATTTCAAACTTGCTTTCCTTTTCAAGTTTTTTTTTTGTTGTTGCTAAAAAAAACCCCAAATTGCATCTTTACTTTTGAGGTCTTTTAATTGGGTGACATTGTGCAGCAGGGCTAGCTACCTACTCTCGCTATGGAATATTCCAGGTCCTACAGAAACACGTTTTTCTCATCATACAGTAGGTATTGTTAATATCCTAAAGACAAAAATAAGGAAAATGGTGTTTGAGAACCAGAGGAAAAAGCATCCTGGTTGGTTGAAAGCAGCTGTGTAGAAAAGGAGTCAGGGTCCCTGGTGGACAAGCTGACCGTGAGCTACCAATGCACTCTTACAGCAAAGAAGACCGACAGCATCCTGGGCTGCATTAGGCAGAGACTTGCCAGCAGGTCAAGGGAGGTGATCCTTCTCCTCCACAGTGCTGGGTATAGCTGCAGTGTAAGGAAAATACAGATATATGGGAGCAAGTCCAGTGCAGGGTCACAGCTGTGACTAAAGGCCTGGGGTGTCTGCTATGGGGAGAGAGGCTGAGAGATGGGGCTGTTCTGCCTGGAGTAGAAAATGTTCAGGAGGATCCTAACAGTGTGTGTGAATGTCTGAGGGAGTGGAGAGAGCTAGGCTGGTGTCCTGAAAAGAGAAAATGTACTTGAAAGATGCCTTAAACATTCTCAAAGGTGGGAACATTCACAACAGTATCCTGCGTGCTGGGCCAGCAGCAGAAGAGACTGAATAGAGACAGGGTTGATTTGGGTTGTTTAAATAAATTTAGTTAATAAAGCTTGTTCTACTTTGCTTGAGTAGTGTTTGTGAAACAAAACCCAAAAGTTGTTTATATTCTCATTGGGGGAAAAAAAAAGGTTTTTCATGAGCTTCTAACTGCATCAGGCTTGCTTCCTTTCACTTGAACAGTTCAACTAACACGTGACTCTTTCGGATCTTTAAAAGTTAACGTGAAAGCACATCGAGTTTAAGTAGCACCAGATTGAAATTTCAGTGTCAAATAGCCTTAGAACTCTTAACATGTGGAACTACTTAACCAATTTGTGTTGAGAGAATATTAATTGTAAAACAGCTGTAGAAAGAAACAATGTTTCCCTGTGAAGTAATTCCATTGTGTGATGATGATAATAAATTTTACATATTAGCACCTTCTTCTTTAAAAAAATATATTTTCTCAGGTAAGACCTCTTGCTCTTTTTATGAAAGGAAGTAGAATTCTAGCATATTTCTGGTAAAATGGCATGGAAAGATGCTTAAGAAAGAGGCTGGTGTAAAAGAAACATTCTTTAAAAATTATTCTGTCAGCGAGGGAGGGGCCAACCTTAAAAAAAAGGTATCTCAGCATCAACATTTCCCTAGAGGTATTGGAAAGGTCTCTTAGTCTAAGAATCTATTTGAAAATAATTGGAAAACCTCAGAAGGGTTTTGTTGCCTACAAGAGGTTTTGTGGTTGGTAAATGAGGCATCATACAAATTGTTGTAATGTTTCATTTTCAGGGTTTTTTTGCTTAGAGAGGGCAAATGGTTTTCCAACCTTCAGCACTGAAGAGAAGACATGGAAGAGAGATTATTGAAAATGAAACAGTCAATTTACTTTCCTATTATACTAGAAGCTATGTGCATATCAAATAGGTAGCTGTGCCCTGTCAGCATGTATTCTATACAGCATAGGGTATATTCATATGAATGGATTCGGGCTTTCATACTGGGATTTTTTTTCTTCCAAAACCACAAAGCCACAAACATTTTTGCCCAAAGTTTGCTTCTAGAGTAAATAGTGGATTTCCTTGTAGGACAGGGCCTGAGGAGCAGGACCCCGAGTGCTGCTCAAGTCATGACCATAAAAGGGGTAAACAAGGACCTAAAAAACAGGAATTTCAACCTTGAGAAAAGCAAGTTCCAGGCACCCTTCTGAGAAAGGCATCAGGGGCTCTGCCTGAAAGGCAAGAGGTGTTTGTTAGTGTAACAGTGCATCACTGACCAATCAAATGCAGCCATGCGCTAATGACACAATCAGTTTAAAATACATAGCCAATGTAAGCATATATAAGGAAGCAACTGCACACAATAAACCAACATTTTGCTTGCATCAAGCTGTGTGCCGTCTCTCAATCGCTGCAAATTGGTGACCCCGACATGATGGGTTTATGCACCGCCTAGCTGAGCGTCTTGTGACGAGTCCCCACAGAACTTTGAATGAGCTGCTGAAAGGAAGCAGGAATCGGCCAGCCTGAAATCCCTCTGGAGTTGTGAGGTGAGCTGTGGGAAACATGGGAAGTCAAGAATCTTCCCTGGAAGGAGACATATATAAACTTAGGAAAGCCCAGGAAGGGGG